AACCTAGTCTTATGTTCATATCAACTACATTAAACACTGCACAAAAAACTTTTTTTAAAAATTATTATTGGTTGTGGGGCTTGAATTCAGGGCGTGAGCTCTGTCCCTGAGCTCTTCTGCTCAAGGCTAGCGCTCTACTACTTTGAGCCACAGAACCACTTCCAGTTTTCTGGTTCATTGGAGATGAATCTCCTGGACTTCCTGCCCCGGCTGGCTTTTGGGTAGCTGGGCTTACAGGCATGGGCTACCAGTGCCTGGCTGCACAAATACTTCGTCTTAAAAAAGAAATTTGCTGGTCGCCAGTGGCTCATGCCTGTAATCCTAGCTACTCAGGAGTCTGAGATCTGAAGATCTCGGTTCAAAGCCAGCCTGGACAGGAAAAGTCCATAAGACTCTTTTTAAAATTTTCTTGTCAGTCCTGGGGCCTGAACTTTGGACCTGGGTTCAGTCCCACAGCTCTTCAGCTGAACTTTGGGTCTGGGCGCTGTCTCTCAGCTCTTCAGCTCAAGACTAGTGTTCTACCACTTGAGCCACAGCACCACTTCTGGCTTTTTCTGCTTATGTGGTGCTGAGGAATCAAACTGAGGGCCTCATCCATGCAAGACAAGCACTCTACCACTGAGTTACCTACCCAGCCCTCTGTGAGACTCTTAGCTCCAATAAACTACCAGAAAACTGGAATTGGTGCTGTGGCTCAAGTGGTAGAGTGATAGCCTTGAGCTGAAGAGCTCAGGGACAGTGCCCAGGCCCAGAGTTCAAGTCCCATGACCAATAAAAAAATAAAAAAAAAAACTTTTAAGTTTATAATTAGTAGAAAAAAAAGTGAGAGAAGGTATGGGTTAAGAGAGATGGGTGACAATGTTGTCAGACATTTTGTACTCATATACTGTTTTGTAGAATGGGAACTTCTTCTTTTTTTGGGGGGGGGGGGCTTGAACTCTGGGCCTGGGCGCTGTCCCCTCAGCTCTTCAGCTCAAGGCGAGCGCTCTACCACTTGAGCTACAGCACCACTTCCGGTTTTCTGGTGGTTTATTGGAGATAGGAGTCTCACGGTCTCTCCTGCCCGGGCTGGCTTTGAACCGCGATCCTCAGATCTCAGCCTCCTGAGTAGCTAGGATTACAGGCGTGAGCCACCAGCGCCCGGCTTGGGAACTTCTTTATACAACTACTTAAAGATAATAAAAAAACACATATGAACAAAAAAAAGTTCATAGTTACAACATTTAGAAATATATTTATATTGTCTTCAAACATTCTCCTTTTACTCTGTTATTGTTCCTAGAGTCCAGTGGCCCATGATACTGCCTTTATGTCATTAAGGTTTGACTCAAAGCCGGGCGCCAGTGGCTCACGCCTGCAATCCTAACTACTCAGGAGGCTGAGATCTGAGGATTGAGGTTCAAAGCCAGCCTGGGCAGGAAAGTCCATGAAACTTTTATCTCCAATTAACCAATCAGAAAGCCGGAAGTGGCACTGTGGCTCAAGTGGTAGAGCAACTAGCCTTGAGCTGAAGAGCTGAGGGACAGCTCTCAGGCACAGAGTTCAGGCCCCATGACTGACCCAAGTAAAAAAAAAGGTGTGACTCAGGTGGAATAGTCCCTGCTTTGAAATTGTGAGGCCCCGGGGTTTAAACCCTAGTTCTGTTTAAAAAAAAAAAAAAAAGACCTACTAACATTGGAGGTTTTATTTAATATTATTAACACTTAATGAACAGCAAATGGAACGTGTGATTTTCTCACAAGAGGCAGCAAGGTAGGGCTAGGAATTTTCAGGCTAAGTTGAAGCTTAATTGAAGGAATTTCAAAGCCAGGGTTACTCATTGAGGGCAACTGCATATCCCCTGGGCCATGCTGTGCCCCTGAATTATCACTTCATCTACACATTAGTAAACTGCCAAGGACGTACAATTGGGTGGATTGCGTGTTTTCCTGATAGAACATTCCATCCTATCTTTGTGCACAAGTTTTTTTCCCCTTTGTGTATAGGTAAGTGTTTGTAGATCAATCATCTTGATTTCAGCATGAAATTCCATTCTCTTTGCTCGATTTCCTCTGAGGTATGCAGAAAGCCTCCTGTTCTGAATCCATTATGTGTTTTTTTCTCTTGAGACGCCTGCCATGATCCCAGTGCATGCTGAAGACAAGGAAAATTACAAAAGCCTTTGGTCCTTAATTCTGCCAATATGATAGAGATTCAAATTAGATGGTGATAGGAAACTTGTGACTGAATCTGTGGAAAGTGACAATTTCCTCCCTTTTCTAGCTCCTTTTCTTTGAGGTATGAGATGGGTTCAGAGGAAGTTCTGTTGGTTATTTTGGCAATGTAATCTGGTGTATTTTTTTTTTTTTTGGTCAAGACTGGCCTTTTGAATAAAGATCCTCTGGATCTCATCCTTGAGAGGCTGGGATGCCAGACCTGCCCAGTGTTGAGGTTGTTTGTTGTTGTTGTTACCAGTCCTGGGGATTGAACTCAAGGCCTGGGCTTTTGTGCCATGAACTTTTTTTTTTTGTAAAGATACTATACAGAGGGTTACAGTTACATGAGTGAGGTAATGAGTACACTTCCTCTTGAACATTGTTACCCCCTCCATTGTTTTCTCCCTACCATCCCCTCCCTCCCTCCCTTCCCCGAGGTTCTTTTTTTTTTTGATTGTGATTAAGTGATTACATAATTTCAAAGTCACAAGTTCATTCTAACTTTCCTGGAGCAAATTGTCTATCACAGTCTGTAATATATAACAGTGTTCACATGTTATATACCATATTTGTGATCAGCAGCATGGGGATATTTAGTAGTGGTTCAACCAGATGGGCGGGAGTTCTTTGTTTCTTAAGTCCTGTTAGTTTTGTCATATCACCTAACATTGTGGATTTAGCATCCACTTATCAGGGAGACCATGTACCGTTTGTCTCTTCGTTCTTGGCTTACCTCGCTCAACATGATTCCTTCTAGCTCCATCCATTTCCCTGCAAATGCCATTATTTTGTCATTTCTAATGGATGCATAATATTCCATTGTGTATAGATACCACAATTTTTGGATCCATTCATCTGTGGTGGGGCATCTAGGTTGTTTCCATATCCTAGCTATTGCGAACAGTGCTGCAATAAACATGGAGGTTGTGCCATGAACTTTTATGCTCAAGGTTAGAGCTCTACCACTTAAGCCACAGCTCCTTTTCTGGCTTTTTGGTGGTTAATTATGAATCTCATGGACTTTCCTGCCTGGGCTGGCTTCAAACCCTGCTCCTCAGATCTCAGCCTTTGGAGTTGCTAGGACTACAGGTGTGAGCCACTGGCACTGGCTTAAATTTTAAGCCACTGGCTTAAAAATTTTTTTTATTAAGTTGTTGTATAGAAAGATTATAATCCTTTATGTTGGGTTATGAGTACAATGCATCCTGATCAGTGCTATCCCATCCTCCCTCCCATCCCCCCATCCCTACCATCAAATGATGTAGTTAAATTTGGATATAATTTACAATGAATATGATTACTGTTATTCATTCTGCCTGCTGTATCCTTTTTGTCTGTAGTAAACGTCCACATTGTGTCAAGTATTTACCAGTAACAGTGGGCAAAGAAAAAAAAATTCTGAAGTGTATAGAATAATAGAATTTATTACATAATTATTTTATGTCCACTTTTGTATCACCTAGATACAGCACTATCAGTGAACGTGAAGGTACTTGAGACACACACCTATGTCTCAGATCATTGATTAAACAATTGTGACCACACTGTGGAAGACATTTTTACTTTTATCAGCTGCATTTTTTTGGACCCCCCCTTCCTTTTTCCTAAATGGGACACATTTGTTCATACTTTATTAGTGCTGGATTTATCAGGTATAGTAACTATTCACCCAACCCAGAGGAAGCAACGTCTTGCCAGACGATTTTCCTTGTTTAATGCCACACTCTTTGCCTGTAGGCATACACCCATCCCTTTATACCATACTTGCTCATTTAAGGGTGGGAAATAAAAGTTCCAGGTGTGTTGCTGTTCAAGGATTACAGCAATGGGAGGCCATGGACATGACCTTTTACCCTGGAAGCACTTCAGATCAAAAGAGAAAAAATTATGCAACTGAATTCCTTTTGCGAGTTTTTTCTTCCGTTGTAAAGGCGTGTAAGGCTTACGACGGCCGTGTGGCTCGAGTCTCAAGCTGGTTCTTCCACCTCTCCAATTTCTGCACTAGTTAAAATTTTGTCATCTTCTGAAGTCATCTCAGAGGATCCTTTCTACAGGTAACTCACTCCTCTCCCTGCACCAGTGTTGTGTCTTCCGACTCCTCTAGAGCTCCTCTTGATTCATTTTCGTTTTTAGGGGGCTAGGAGTTATAGCCTTTTATTTATGTATTTTCTAAGGAATTACCACCACGAGAGAATGCCAGCAGGGTGCACAACCCTCTTCATTGAGTCTGCTTTTCACTCAAGCACCAGGAAGACTTCCTTAGCCTTAGCAGCCAGGGTGGAGGGGAAGAGAGGAAGAACACTTCCGAGGATCCGTCCGGGGATACCCTCAGCTCCAGGGGCGTGTGTGGGGTGCCTGCCGGTGCTGGGGCTGGAACTCAGGGCCTGGGCTTTTATCTCACGGCCACCGCGCCACTTCCGGCTTTTCGGGGGCTCACGGTGCTGCCCCGGCTGGCTTCGAACCCCATCCTCCACCTCAGCCTCCCGCGGAGCTGGGACGACAGGCGTGAGCACCGGTACCCCGAGTGGACGTGGCGCCCTCCCGGCACGTGGGGTGCACCGACGCCGCCCCCGAGGAGGGTCCGCGGCCGCGCACCACGCGCCCTCCTGCCCGAATGTGGGTGCGGTTTTGGGGGGCGGCGGCTGCCAGGCCGGGCGGGTCCGTCCGCGCGCCTCCGGGCCCGGCGGGCGGCCGCTGTCCGGGGTGGGGACGGTCCCTCCGGTGAGCGGCTCCAACTACACCGCTCCCCGGCAACGCGGGCGGCTCCCAGGTGGCCGAGCCGCCCGTAACCTAACAACCGCGGCGTCAGCAGCGCCCCGGGCCGGCGAGGGGCGGGCCCGCCGTCCTCGGAGGGAGGAGACGCGGCGCCGCTCCCCGGGCGCGCGTCGGCGCCGTCCTTCCAGGAAACGCGAGTGCTGCGCCCCGGCCCTGCGCGCGCCCCCGCTCCCTGCCCCCTGCGCGCCCCTGCGCGCCCCTGCGCTCGCGCACGCGCACGCCGCGCCTGGCCGCCCTCGGCGCTGTCATGGCGGCCGGGAGCAGCTTCGGGGAGCCCGGGGACGGCCGCGCGAGCTGGGGAGAGGCGAGCGGTGCCGGCAGCATCCTCGCCGCCCCGCGGCAGCCGGTGTCGCGGCGCCCATAGCGCCGGCAGTGACTGCTTTTTCCAAACAAACAAACAAAAAGGAAAATTAAAGGAAAGGAAAATAAACATGAGCTGAGCGCAGGGGCGGGGCGGGCCAGGAGAGCGCGGACTCCGGGGCGCGGGCCCGGGAAACTTAAGGCGGCGACCAGGTGCGCGCCCCCCCACCCCCCGCGGCCCGCCACGTCCGCCCTCCCCGCCGCCGCTCACGCCTCCCGGGGAGCGCAGGTACCTGAGGGCGGTGCTCCGCTCCCGGGCCGGGCCCAGGGCCGTCGCCGCCCCTTCCCCGCCTTTTCCTGCCCTGGATCGCCGCTGCCGCCGCCGCCGTGTCGCGGCGCCCCGGAGCGGGGTGAGGACGAGCCCCGGGGGTGTCGGGGTGAGGGGGCAGCTTCCTGTCGCCGAGGTCGCTGGGGAGGGTCCCCCGCTTTCCCCCCTGGCTCCTCCTCTTTTTCCCGCGCTCGCGGAGCACCTGTGAGGAGAAAGCGGCGCCGCGCCCCGACCCCGGGAGCTGGGGGTGGAGGGGAGCCTGCGCCCGGGCCGTGGGGGACCCCCGCTCCCCCGGCCCCCGGAACCTGGGGTGCCGGGGTGCGTGTGTGCGTGAGGGGGGGGGTTGTGAACCTGCGCCCGGGCCTCGGGGACCCGCCCTCCCCTCGGCCGCCCGCTCCGCCAGCCCGGCCGCCCCTGGGGTGCCCTTAGCAACTTACTTGACGGGCGGTGCTCCCCCCTCCCCCGAACCCCTCAAACCCGACCGCTCCTCGTTAACATACACCTCGTCTTCCAATAGGGTTCGGCGTTGTTGTCAGCCTCGGGGAGAGAGATTGGACAACTATTCTCCGCGAGGAGGAGGAGGAGGGCGACGCCAAGGACTTTCCGCATCTCCTGCCTTGGGGGGTTCCCTCCTCAAGTTGCAAGGGCCCCCTCCCCGCCCCGTCCCCCCGCCTGGCGCCCCGCGCGGCGCGGGTCGCGCTCCTCGCCCGGGCGGCCGCGGCTGTGTCCCCCCCCCGCCGGTGACTCTCCCGCGTCCTGCCCGTCCTCGGGCGCGAGCCATGGCCAGCGAGGGCCACCGCGTCCCCTCCCCGCCGCCAACAGGTGATGACGGGGGCGGCGGAGGGCGAGGGGAAGCCCCCGCGGAAGCGGGGGGCGCCCGCTCCCTGAAGCCCGGGCTCCCCATCAGGGGCATCCGGATGAAATTCGCCGTGTTGACGGGCTTGGTGGAAGTTGGCGAAGTCTCCAATAGGGACCTGGTCGAGACCGTCTTCAACCTGGTGAGAACTGAATGTTTCCTAGGCAGACGCGCTTCTCGCTGAGCGGGGCTGGGGAGGAGGAGGAGGAGGAGGAGGGAGGCTGGAGGCAGGTGCTTTCTTTTCTTCAGGCTGTCCACCATGGGCTTTTTTTTTTCCCCCTACAAAATCCGACTTGACCTGCATGACAGTGTCTCGTGTCGTTTCCGTGGAAGGGGAGCAGGGCCAGGTTTTGTGAAAGTGAACAGGTCGCTGGCGTCCGGGCACAGGGACTTAGGTGTGAGCGCGCCGGGGCCTGGCGCGGGGAGGGGGCGCTGGGGACGGTGTAATGGTTGGTTTGTTTGTTTCTTCTTCCTCCCCCTCCCTGGTCCTGTGGGTTTCCCTCTGCATTTTTCCCTTCATAAAATTTTAAGTAAGTTCTTGAAGTTCTGTGACTTTAGTTTTTATTGGTTCATTTATTTATTTATTTTAGTCATGGGGCCTGAACTCTGGGCCTGGGCGCTGTCCCTCAGCTCTTCAGCTCAAGGCTAGCGCTCTACCACTTGAGCCACAGCGCCACTTCCGGCTTTTTTTCTTTTCGCTTATGTGGTGCTGAGGAATCGAACCCAGGGCCTCATGCATGCAAGGCATGCATTCTACCACTGAGCCACCTTCCCAGGTCCCTGTGACTTTATTTTTGAACTTTAGAAATAATATGAAGTTTTTGCGACTCCTTTAAATTAAGTTTTAGCCTTTTAAACAAAATTTAGGCCAGTAGGGCTGACAAAGGGCTAATTTTTGCAAATTAGTATTTGTTTTTAATTACCGTTGTTAGAAATAACTCACAAAAGTTGAATTTGGGGGATGAATTTGGGATTGCATTTAAAGTAATCTTGTAAAAAATTGAGTTAACATTTTGCAAAGAATGGATAGTTTTTCTTTGGTAGATTCCTATCTAAGCAGTAAAGCACACTTGGCCATTGGCAGTTGCTGATTTTACTACTGAGAAATATGAAGTTAAAAAAAACTATTCCATTTTTAGAAATAGTTATCTTCAATAGAGACTTTTAAAGTTATTTTATTTCAGCTTCTGCTGCTTATCAACTTAATCAAAAGGGGATTTGGCCTTAAAATGCTTGGCCTCTTCTACTCAGTCTGTACCATATAGAAAAGTGAAACACTTGTAATAATTGCTTTGCCCTTTCCTCTTTTCTTCTACATTTTCAAGGTTAGACTTGTTTTATTCTAGGGCAGTTAATTATTTCCTTTACTAGATCTTTATTGCTAGTCTGGTTATTTGCAATGAGAAAGTAGCTACAGCAAATATACTTACTTTTGGAATATGAAAGCAATATGTGTTTTGTATTGGGAGTTTGTGTATAAATACCACAGAAAGACATATATAAACACTTTTAAATAATATGCAAATATCCAAGTGTATATAAACTGGAATAGAATAGTGAACTCTGGCATCCATATTCAGCTTCAACAGTTAACCAACAGTGTGTGTATGGGGCTTTTATGAGTGAGTCTCCAGAAAAATGGCAAATTGATTATTCCTTTATCTCAAAACAGAGATAATTGAAAACTTGCTTTTGATTTTCTTTTTCTAAACCTCATGTGTCTTGAATGAGAACAGCAATCTGTGGTAGTCTTCTTAGCAGGTGCAAGACTCTGAGTTCAAGACCTAGCATCATCACTCCCTCCTTCCCCCCAAAAGAAGAAATCAGTGGTAGTGGCAGTGATATAGTTCATAATTACTTTCTTGTGTGTGGAGTCACAGCATTCTTTGGCAGGAGGATTTAGACTCTTTAGAATGTGCTGTGTGGGGGTGGATAACCAAATCTAAATCATTTGCATTTTTATCATTAAAGAAAAGCTCAATTCTGTAGTCATGGTTTGCTTATATACTACCTAGAAGTATAGGCAGTAGGTGTGGTAGAGATTTTAAGGTCATTGATGAAGTCCTTCAGAGTTGGTGGTTTGTAGGGTAGTAGGTGACAGGGTAGTTGAGGAAGAGTCTGTTCTGTTACAGACTCTCTTCACAGACCAGGGGGGAGAGGATTAGATAGCAGTTTCTCAAAAAAAAAAAAAAACAACACAACAACAACAGTTTCTCTTCTCTCTCCTCCTGAGTACTTTTTCATGGTCTTTCCATAGGGCTTTGGTCACTCCCTACAAAATCTTGGGAACTGAATTAAAGAAACTGCTGAGAATCTAGTCAGCCCACACTGAACTGTCCTAAGTAGTAGTTGCTAGCCTGTCTTAATTCTACTCAGAGAAGGAAAGTACATTAACTCTTAAGAGTGATTAAAAAAGAAAGTTACTGCCCACTTTTCAGTGCCCTGCAGTGGGCCAGGTGTTTACATATAGTATGTAATTCTTCTCTAAACAATTCTTTTTAATCCACATATACCATTTTCTAGATGTCAAAACTGAGGCACTAGGGTTAACGGGTTTTCTGAATGTGATGATGCTTAGAACTTCATTTTTCTCAGGAAGGCATCTATCTCATGAGTCAGGGTACACTTGTTTGCTCCCCTAAGCAGTATTTATAGCTTAGGACACTACAGTCATTGGGTCCGGCCATATAGTAATGGTAAAGTCTGCCTTGGTAGACTTTATTTCTTATTTTCCCTTTCAAAACATTGTTTAGAAAAAAAACCCTCAAAAGGTTTATACAGTTGATTTTTCCAATTTATTTTATGCAGAAAATTAACTTGAACATTTTTTTTTTTAATTTAATTTTATTTTATTTGAGAACATACTGTACAGAGGGGTTACAATTACATGGGCAGGATAATGCATACATTTCTTACCAAGCATTGCAGCCTCCTCCTTTGTTTACCCTTCACCTCCCTTCCCAGCCTCCCCCCTCCCAATTCCCCCCCCCCACCGACATTGTAAAGCTCGTTTTTGCATTTTTTTTTTTTTTTTTTTGGTTGGTCGCGGGGCTTGAACTCTGGGCGCTGTCCCTGTGCTCTTCAGCTCAAGGCGAGCTCTACACCGCTTAAGCCACAGCACCACTTCTGGTTTTCTAGTGGTTTATTGGAGATAAGAGTCTCACGGACTTTCCTGCCCGGGCTGGCTTTGAACCGTGCTCCTCAGATCTCAGCCTCCTGAGTTGCTAGGATTACAGGTGTGAGCCACTGGCCCCTGGCTGACATATTTCTTATACCATATATTGGTTTAAGTCTTCCAAAATTGTGAAAAGTAGGGTGCAAACCAAAGAATGTGTCAGGTATATTAGTCATAGACTATTGTAACAATATATGATCTTTCTAACAATATATGACCTTTGCGTCCAGTCTAAGGAACCAGGGAATTACATTATCACTTAAACCTTGTGTGGTCCTCCTCCATACTTTCTTCACTGGACTTTTCATTAGTGAATATTATCATATTTATAGCGATGGTAACTTCTTTCTGTATTCCATAAGTTATTATTAAAGTAGTGTTTTTATTTTTGAAGTAGTTTTAGTTTTAAAGTAGTGTTTATTGAAGTATGTGTTTTTCCTTCCCACTTTCCCTCTTTTTTTTTTCCCTTCCTGTTTTCTTTTCTGACATGAGAGTTTTCTATGTAGCCTAGGCTGGCCTTGAACTCCTAGACTCCTAGTGATCCTTCTGTCTTAGCTGAGTCTACAAGTGCATACCATTGTGCCAAGTAGAAATATATGTTCTAAAGATTATTTGTTATGCTTTAAAGAAATAAACTTGAACCTCCCAGAGGTACACAGATAGGAAGTGGTAGCGCCATCTAATTGCTTCAGAGGTGTCTTTATAAAGTGCTGTCCCACCTCTGCTAATGTACCTTGATCTTACTGTTATAAATTCCTTTGTAATTTTTTTTTTTGTTCCAGTCTTGGGGCTTGAACTCAGGGTCTGGGTGCTGTCTCTGAGAGGCTAAACCACTTGAGCTATAGCTCCAATTCCGGCTTTTTTTTTTTTTTTTTTTTTGGCGTTCGCCTCATGAGCTTTCCTCCCTAGGCTCACTTCAAACTGCGATTCTTAGGTCTCAGCCTGCTGAGAGCCACAGGTGCCTGGCTTCTGCAAGTGTATGTTACAAAAGATAAATTTTGATTAAAGTACATTAGTATATTCAGGTTTTTCAAACTTATAGTTAATTTTTACATTTTTCTTGCTGTAACTTAAAACCATTTTTGTGTGTGTGTGTGTGTATATGTGTGTGTGTCCGTGTCCGTGTCCATCTTTTGGACCCAGAATAATTAACGGATTGGTGTGCATCAGGAATAGGCTGCTGACTTTAATTTGTTTTCACCAGGGATTTAAAGGTGTTCTGTGTGGGCTTAGAACATAGCTTTAGTGATAGAGCACTTGCCTAGAGTACACAAGTCCTGATTTTCGTTCATAGCACTGAGAGAAAACAAAAAACTTCTTTAAAGATATTCTGAAGTATTTAGTTCAAGATTAAAGTTTCCCATGGGCTTGTAACCAATACATGTTTCAATAATTTCTTTTTTGTCTTTAAAAAGTCACTATAGGGTTTCCTTGTCCAAAGAGAAATGCACTTGAATTGTGAAAAAAGTAACCTCTCTGTACAATACTTTAACAATAAAATTATATTAAAAGAAAGTATGACCTTTTTTTTTTTTTTTTGAGATGAGGTCTACCTATGTATTCCCAGGTGGGCTTCAA